TTATATGTACGGTACGTGTAGTAATTAGAGTGTATCTATAGTGTCATATGTACGGTACGTGTAGTAACTAGAGTGTATCTATATTGTTATATGTACGGGACGTGTAGTAACTAAAGTGTATCTATACTGTTATATGTACGGGACGTGTAGTAACTAGAGTGTATCTATACTGTTATATGTACGGGACGTGTAGTAACTAGAGTGTATCTATACTGTTATATGTACGGTACGTGTAGTAGTTATAGTGTATCTATAATGTTATATATACGGGAGGTGTAGTAATTAGAGTGTATCTATACTGTTACATGAACGTGACGTGTAATAATTAGAGTGTATCTATACTGTTATATGCAAAGGACGTGTAATAATCAGGGTGTTTCTATACTGTTATATGTACGGGACGTGTAGTAACTAGAGTGTATCTATAATGTTATATATACGGGAGGTGTAGTAATTAGAGTGTATCTATTCTGTTATATGTACGGTACGTGTAGTAACTAGAGTGTATCTATAATGTTATATGTACGGGACGTGTAGTAATTAGAGTGTATCTATTCTGTTATATGTACGGTACGTGTAGTAGTTATAGTGTATCTGTACTGCTATATGTACGGGACGTGTAGTAATTAGAGTTTATCTATGCTGTTATATGTACGGGACGTGTAGTAGTAAGAGTGTTTCTAAACTGTTTTATGTACGGGACGTGTAGTAGTTAGAGTGTATCTATATTGTTATATGTACGGGACGTGTAGTAGTTATAGTGTATCTGTACTGCTATATGTACGGGACGTGTAGTAGTTAGAGTCTATCTATAATGTTATATATACGGTACGTGTAGTAATTAGAGTGTATCTATACTGTTACATGAACGTGACGTGTAATAATTAGAGTGTTTCTATACTGTTATATGCAAAGGACGTGTAGTAATTAGGGTGTTTCTATACTGTTTTATGTACGGGATTTGTAGTAACTATAGTGTATCTATACTGTTATATGTACGGGTCGTGTAGTAATTAGGGTGTTTCTATACTGTTTTATGTACGGGATTTGTAGTAACTAGAGTGTATCTATACTGTTATATGTACGGGTCGTGTAGTAATTAGGGTGTTTCTATACTGTTTTATGTACGGGATTTGTAGTAACTAGAGTGTATCTACTGTTTTATGTACGGGATTTGTAGTAACTTTAGAGTGTATCTATACTGTCATATGTGTAATTAGGGTGTTTCTATACTGTTTTATGTACGGGACGTGTAGTAGTTAGAATGTTTCTATACTGTTATATGTACAGGACGTGTAGTAATTAGAGTGTATCTATACTGCTATATGTACGGGACGTGTAGTAATTAGAGTGTATCTATACTGTTATATCTAAGGGACGTGTAGTAATTAGAGTGCATAGACCTATACTGTTATATGTACGTGACGTGTAGTAGTTAGAATGTTTCTATACTGTTATATGTACGGGACGTGTAGTAACTAGAGTGTATCTATAATGTTATATGTACGGGA